ATTTGCTTCTAGTGGCATCAGTATAGTATAAATTAAATTTATTTCTTAAATGAAGAATTAATTTTCCACATCAGCATATTAAAAATTTCCTATAAAAATATTTTAAATAATAATAAACAAATAGAGTAGTGGTCTTGTTTTCACTCCTGTGAGGCATTGACGACGGGAACAAAAAGCTAGAGCTAAGTGTGATGAGAATTGAGAAGTTCCATTATTTCCGGGTATACTGGGTATTTGTCTGAAATAACTTTATCACGTGTGTGCTTTTTTCCTTATAGTTTTTGGACACGTGTCCCATATCGATTTATACATATTTTTAAAATAGTATAAATAATATTAAAACATATAACTAATGAGCAACAATTCTTCTAATATAACATATATTCAGATTGATTCTAAACTTAGAAAAATGACTTTTCTTCATTGCTTCTTTTTTTATTTATCATTTTTTACTGTTTAGTTTTTCTTATGTTAATATATGCAATTGATTGCTAAATTTTCTTCTAAAAGAAAATCTTCCATAATATGGCATGTGCAACTTTAAGAGTTCTTTCCTGTTAATTGACAAATATGTATTTGAGCATCATATAATATGATTTAATAATTTTCTCGTTAATATAAACTTGAAGAAATATCAAAACAAATCAAACTTTTGAAATTGAAGAAAAGCACTAACATGAAATAATTCCTTAATAAATTCAACTAAATTCAACTAAATCGCAGAAATAATCTCTTCTCCAACTTAGCTTCTTCGTGTAATTTTCTTGTTTTCACATGTGTGTGTAGCAGGGATGGATTTAGGCTGTTAGGTTGCCCCTAAGTTTTGTATGAATTCTGTATTTATATCGAGAAATTCAATAAATAAATAAAAATTATGAGTTGGGAATCCACTAACAAAGTTTGTTTTTGGTCCAGTGGTAGAAAAAGGACCTGTAAGGTTTTGCTGCCCTCTTGGTTGAGGGTTAAGTTCCATCAGCCACCATGAAGACTTCTTTTTCTTTTTATTTTATCGTTTGAGATAGGTGGAACCCACAAGTTTTAAATTCTGGATTCGTCTCTGTGCATAGAAGGAATGACATAATAGGCTCATGAAAACAAAAATCAATATATCACCTTTAATATAATGATAAAAAATTATTCTTATTGACTGAGATTAAATTTATCGGTTCAACTTTTCATAACTATCAGAAGAGAGTCAAATTATGAATTGTTTAAAGTTTAATAAGCATAACGCAAGTGTCATGTCATGCTCCAAACCTCAGTGAGCCCGATCGACACCCAGTGTTTTAACCTGACCGAGTGAATCAACCATATATATAAACTTATACCAGTATCACATATTTTAGGATTATGTGATAGTCATTTAGAATATTACATATTAGTTCACTCAGTCAACTTAAGGCACTAAGTGCCGATCCGCCTAATCAGGTTAAGAGCATGACATATCAAGATATTATTTTTCAGATTTTCAAATGAGAAGTAGGTATTGAAATTTTTTAATCCCGAGTTGCTTTTCTGGTGAAGCATAAGCATGCTTGAACAGTTTTTTAAAAAACAATTCTTCATATGTATCAACATCAATTCGCAAATGAAAAAATATAATCTGCATATAAAATTTCAAACTTTACTATTATGTGTTGTACCATGTACTCTAGATAAGAACTCATTTAACAATTTAAATAAAAAGTATAAATTCTATCACCAATAGTTTAACAGAAATTGATATCATAGTACATGTTACTTTATAAATATAAGCTCTTAGACAGGAAAATAAAATACATGTCCAGGTAGTATTGAGCAAAATCCATAACAGTAAACCTTTACCGGAAGAAAAGAATTAGTGATTACCACTTTTGTTGTGCACCTTTATATATATAGTACAAGAAAGATATAAAAGAATATAGGTAAATATTACTCCGTACTACTAATTACATATGGAAGCTCAAAGGATAAAACGTACGAGGTTGAAATGTGAAAAGACTATGGTGTAATTAATGTAATTAAGAAAACGTTTACAATTGCTACATCTTTTAATAATTTTTGGCAGTTGAAACACCCTCTTCATTAATCAATTCAATGCACCTGAAATTAATATTTAATAAAAGGTTTTTATGAAGGGTAAACTGCATTTAATAAAAGGTTTTAATATTTAATATTTATTATATTAGATGTTTTATGCTTTAATACATTTTAAGTTACATTAGGGGCAAAACTGTAATCTAACTTGGAAGATAGGAGCTTCCCACTTTTATTATAATATATATATGATGTGATAGTTATATATTGCTTTACATTTAAAATTAAGTAATTTGATCTGCAATATTCCCACAATAATGGGGCTCGTTGACTCTTTATATTGCTCCCTTCAAATATAACCATCTTCTTATTCTGTTAGATTTTATGTAATATATCTAATTTTGTGTTGCTTTGTATATCACTGACTAAATTAGAGCATAAAAAGTGCAATCGAACTCATGTACAAAATGTTTAGACACAATAACACAAATGAATTCCTATACGGAAGTATGATACGATCATTTGGAATGTTATTATGGCACACCCGGTGCACGGGTGCGCCATAACAACGGAAGTTAGTGCAAATAACATTAGGCGAGGTGATTAAGGATCAATTGTGTGCTGTGAAAAAAAAGAAAATTTTGTGATCTAACTCGCGATTTGTGAAACAATGGCTAGGCACATACTAGTCATTTTGATCATCTTTTCACCATACTCAATCAAAGGAGAAATCACACCTTCAAAGGCATCTTCACAATCTGAAATATCAGTAATAGCAGCACTGAGCATAGTGCTCATACGTCCACTGTCATGAATACGCAGAGCCTCAATAGCTTGCTCGTAATTGTACAACACAGTATCCCAACTATCCAGGCAAGTTTTAAGCATTTTCTTAGTGTTAGGGGGAATAGCAGGGGATTCAGAAGCTCTTTTCGCAGCTGCAAATCCCAATTTGGCAAACTGATCGCTTGCCTTCATAGCTACTTCAAGAACTTTTTGTACATTGACAGCACTTCCACGCATAAATGGAGCAACAGTTGCGGTGCAAAGATCAGGGTAGTCAGTATTGTCGCATATTTTCTTTATAGTAGTATCATGATTAGCACTTGCACCGTCGTCGTTTTGAGTATTGGACATAAGAGAAGAAGATAGACCGGAAGCGGCTGCTTGATCACTGGAGGAAATAGAATCAGTGGAAATGGAAGAAAATTCTGATGGTTCAAAGGAAGACGATTCTGATTCTGATTCTAGTTCTGATTTAGATGGTGAGAGTGAAGGAGCATCTGAAGGAGGAAAAGAGATGCCAGAATGAGAATAAGAAGCTGTTTCTGAATTAACTGATTCTGTTTCTGATGACGGAGATATTGCTGAGTGTTCATATCCAGGAGGGTATGAAGAATGACTAATTAGTGAGTTTACTTTTGGTTTTGGAGAAGAAGCTGTAGGCTGCATGTTTGGTGATGAATCAATGGATTGTGCTGAAGTGAGGGTGAAGAGAAAGAACAAACAAAGGAATATAGGCTCCATTTTTTTGATGTTTTGAGATCAGATAATGGTAAAGGGGAGGAATGAATGAAACTTTACAAAAATAGAAAGGAACAACAAGAGNATATATATATATATATTGTTTACCCTAAAAAATGGATAACAATTGAATTTATACGCGGTTTTAATGACGTGGACTAATTCAATATAAGTAATCAATAACGTTAAATAAGTGAATTAAAGATAGAATAAATAACCAAACCAGTTGTAATGTTAGGTCCGAGACTTTTCTTGGACCCCGGAGTGCCAACAAGCTTTGGAAGAACTCAAACGGTACCTTTCGAGTCCACCCTTGCTCCACACTCCGAAGGCGGATGAGCAGTTGTACCTTTACTTGTCGGTATCCGAGGTGGCGGTAAGTGGAGTCCTAGTCCGGGAAGAGGAAGGTACGCAATTTCCTGTTTACTATGTTAGTAGAGCTCTAGGCGAGGCCGAAACAAGGTATCCTCACCTGAAAAATTGGCGCTCGCTTTGCTAAGCGCCTCCAGAAAGTTAAAATCATACTTTTCAATGCCACCCCATATGTGTCGTGACCTCTTACCTACTGAGGAACATCATGCACAAGCCCGAGCTCTCGGGCCGGTTGGCCAAATGGGCAATCATAATTAGCGGGTATGATATCGAGTATCGGCCCCGAACCGCCATCAAATCACAAATTTTGGCAGACTTCGTAGCCGACTTTACGCCGGCCTTAATACCCGAAGTCGAAAGGGATTTATTGTTCTCCTCGGGGATTACCTCGGGAGTTTGGACCCTCTTTACGGACGGTGCTTCGAACGCAAAGGGGTCCGGGCTCGTGCTGAAACCACCTACGGTTAACATAGTTAGGCAATCTATTAGAACTGTGAAATTAACTAACAATGAGGCTGAGTATGAGGTCATGATTCCAGGTCTCGAATTGGCTAAAAGCCTTGGGGCCGATGTGATCGAAGCTAAGTGCGATTCCCTCCTTGTGGTAAATCAAGTCAATGGGACGTTCGAAGTAAAAGAGGAACAGATGCGAAGGTACTTAGATAAGTTGCAGGTAACACTACATCAATTCAAGGAATAGACCCTATAACACGTGCCCCGAGATCAAAATAGTGAGGCCGATGCCCTGGCTAACTTGGGATCATCGGTTGATGATGACGAATTCAATTTAGGAACAGTCGCACAACTCATGAAGTCGGTGGTGGAAGAAGGTCACGCCGAAGTAAACTCGACAAGTTTAACTTGGGATTGGAGGAACAAATACATAGATTATTTGAAGACTGGGAAGTTGCCCTCGGATCCTAAAGAATCGAGAGCTCTTCGCACGAAGGCAACCAGGTTTAGCCTGTCCGAAGGGACTCTGTTCAGAGGAACATTCGACGGCCCACTCACCATATGCTTGGGGCCGGGAGATACCGAATATGTTTTAAGAGAAGTTCACGAAGGCACTTGCGGAAACCATTCGGGGGCAGAATCTTTGGTTCGGAAATTAATCAGAGTCGGTTATTACTAGATCGACATGGAGAAAGATGCAAAGGACTTTGTACGAAGATGTGACGGCTTTCAAAGACACGCACCGATGATCCATCAACTCAGAGAGCTACTCCATTCGGTCTTGTCCCCATGGCCGTTCATGAAATGGGGAATAGACATCGTCGGTCCCCTGCCGTGGGCACCTGGTAAGGCTTAAATCATACTATTTATGACCGGTTATTTTTCTAAATGGGTCGAAACTCAAGCGTTCGAGAAAGTCCGGGAAAAAGAAATCATTGACTTCATTTGGGACCATATAATATATTGGTTCGGGATATTGGCCGAGATCGTGTGTGATAATGAGAAGCAACTCATCGGCAGCAATGTAAACAAGTTTTTTAAAGACCACAAGATTAAAAAGATACTATCGACACCCTATCACCCTAGTGGAAACGGACAAGCAGAATCCACAAACAAGATCATACTCCAATACCTGATAAAGAGGTTGACCGATGCCAAAGGCAAATGTAAGGAAATTCTGCCCGAAGTCGTGTGGACATACCGTACAACTTCTAAGTCTAGTATCGGGGCCACCCCGTTTCATTGGTCTACGGTGCCGAAGCATTAATACCGGTCGAAGAGGGAGAACAGAGCCTCAAGTTCCGATATGCGACCGAAGAATCGAACGGTGAGGCCATGAGCACGAGTCTGGAACTATTGGATGAATTGCACGGGCCGCCCTAGTCCTGGCCACCCAAAAACAGTGGATAGAAAGATATTACAACCGAAGAGCCAACCTCCGACACTTTAAGATCGGGGACTTGGTATTAAGAAAAGTAACACTGCATACCCGAAACCCGAACGAGGGAAAGATGGGACCGAATTAGGAAGGACCATATCGGGTCGTCAGAATTACTGGCAAAGGCTCGTACAAACTCGATGCATGAAACACTGCACAGCTACCGAACCACTAGAACGTGACGCACTTAAAGCGGTACTACTACTAAGGTACGATGTCATTTACTTTTTTATAATATTATGAATCGTACTAACACTTGCAGGCAATAGCCAAAGGAGAATGTGACTATTAGGTCTGCAAGCACGCGTTGCACTCTTTTTCCCTTGAACCGATTTTGTCCTATATGGGTTTTTCCGCAAGGTTTTAAACGAGGCAACAATAAATGGTGCTAACTTAGATTCGAAGGCCGGTCTTAAATCGAAGTCAATGGGAGAATCAACAGTAACCGAGCCCTCTCAAGATTGGCCTCGAATATTGGGGGCGATCACCCTCGAATTAAGGTTCTTAGCAAGGAAAGAAGGAAACTTTGTACTTGAATAGCTTAGGCTCGGTGGATATGATTTATTTTAAGGGCCAAATGGTCAAGTAAATCGTGCCCACATAGGCCACCTTAGCCGTGATATAAGCTTTTACACGCTTTCGATCATGTACTTTACACACAAAAATAAAAGAAAGTTTTCACCTTGCTATTAAGTGTTTCTGCCTCTTAAAACATAGATCCTAACCCTATTTGAGGACTATCGAGCCCAAGGGCTACCCTAATCCAGGGACTATCGAGCCCAAGGGCAACCCCTATCCAGGGACTATCGAGCCCGAAGGCTACCCCTACTCGGGGACTATCGAGCCCGAAGGCTACCCCTACTCGGGGACTATCGAGCCCCGGGGCTACCCCTACTCGGGGACTGTCGTCCGAAAAAAGTTCGTGCAACTCGGGCTACCAAATCCCGGAGGCACAAAACCTATTAGGTAGTGCCTAAACACAAAAGACTATGGCCACCCTTGAAAAAATGGCTCGGAGATGTCCGAAGCTCGTAATTAGAACATAAGGCCTTTATTAAAATTTAAAACCTGCTAAAAAGTTACCCTCGGAAAAAGCATAATCTAAAATCACTTAATCATCTTGGAAAAACTTTCGGTCACACCGAGTTTTCAAAGCCTCGAGCAAATAAAGTTGCATCGAAGTCAGGCTCCGTTCGGTCAGAAAATGAACGACTTATTACTACATTTGATTTTACGTTAAGGCATTAGAGATATTTGCAAGAATAGAAATTATGAAAAAATGCTAAAAAAGTAGACTCGAAATTGCCAGAAAGGATATATTCCGAAATGTATTTACAAAGGCCCAACAAAAACAGCCTCAAAATAAACAAAAAACATACACAAGACAAAAACTAAAAAGGTTCTAAGGCATTCACGCCTGATCTTCACCGGGACCCGACTCGTCGCCAGAACCGTCGGAGCCTTCAGATCCCTCAGAACCCTCGGAGCCTTTGGCACCTTCAGGCTCGGAAAGTCTCTTCGTCTTGGCCTCAAGCTTTATTGCTTCCACGATCTCGGTCGACAGGTCGAAGCCTCAGGCATGAATCTCTTCGAGGGTCTCCCTTCGAGACATCTGCTTCATATATTCGGCATTGGTCTTCAGGAGGGCCTTGGCTGCTTCGACATGTCCTTGTATTGGGCCACCATCTCCTCGGCATCGGCAGAGGTTGTCTCCAACTTGGACTTTATTACCTCGTACTCTCTACCGAGGACGTCCCGCTCTGCAACAGTAGAGCTCAGTTGTGCTTGGAGATCATCATTCAGTTGGGACCGTCTGTCAGCTTTCTCCTTCTCCACCCGAAGTTGAGCCTCTACCGATGCCAGCTTTGCCTGGGCGGTTTCCTTCTCCGAAGCCAGCAGGTCCATTTTGCTCTTCCACCTATCGGCCATGGCTTGGATCTCGTTCATCTCGATTCAGAGTTGGTCGATTTGGTCGATCTTCTGTTAGACCTGCGAGGTTTTGTCGTTATCCACTAAGACTAGTTCCTCATTTCTAACTTCAAAGACCTTTACCTTCTCGACCAAGTCGGCATATTCCCTCCTTAGGGTCAAAGCTTCCTTCTGATCCCTATCTAGCTCGGCTTAATGGCCGTGTCTTGTTGCTCGCTGTGGAGCTTGTACATTCCCTTCTTTTGAATCTGCTCCTTGAGCTCGAGCTTGAGCTGATTAACCTCGACACGGTACCATAGGAAGCTCTCATGGTGAAGTACCAAGGCCTACAAAAAATGAAAGTCGTGAGAGATATCAAAACCTAAGTGAAATTCAAAGAAGACGTAATGAAGCCTTACCCGATTCGGTGCAGCGCATGCTGCGCCTCATTGAAAAGACACGGCATGTCTACCTCGTTCATTTTTTCCTAGTCCTCCTCGGTCACCAGGCATCGGAGGTAACCGGCTACACCCATGGGAGCAGATAGAACCCGGGCATCCTCCGGGACAGTAAGGATAACCGCTCTCTTGCGACCAGGGTCCACACTCGGAGCGAGAAACTAATTAATCAATTTTGGGCTCGAACTCGGCCCGCCGGCTTCAAAAGATATGTCCTTCTTCAGGACCTCTAGGTCGCCCAGCCCGAAAAAATCTTCCAAAGTGGACGAGTCCACACCATCGAAGAAAGAATGAAGGCGGTCGTCCGCGCCATGAAACCCTTCACTGGACTTCTCTTTTCCTGCTTGGGCCTCCTCAAGCATGGACTCGGTGTAGGAGGGCGTCTCCATAATGTCTATTATACTGGGCGCTTCCTTCGGAGCGGAACCGACTTCTCGGGGGGTCCCACCTCCCCTCTCCATATCGTCCTCTCGAGTATGAGGGAGGTTGGCCTCACAAATCTCCCCCTCGGCTGCCGCCTACTCCCCGAGAGGGGTCGATCTATGGGCAACAAAAATGTCGCCTTCTTCCGACTCATCCCTGAGCCAAAGAAGCGAGCCGGAATCTGGCACCCGGGAGCTGGTACTCTTATTGGGCTTACGAACCACCCTCTTCTTAGGCTTCACCTCGGGACCCGGGGAGCCCAAAAATTTTCTTTTCCTCTTATTCTTTTCCCCCGCGGTAGCCCCGGGCTGTCCCGTAACGGAGGGATCAACGGACAAGGACACATCCTCATCCCATTCCAAAGGCCTAAGTTCGGTGGTCTTAGGCAAACCTATAAAAAAAAAAGAAAGGTCAGTATTATATGAGTTAAGAACACGATAATGGTTATTCGAAGGAGAACCTTACCATGAGAACGGGCCTCCCATCAACACTTCGAAAGCTTGCGCCATGAGCGCTCGAAGTATGACATTTGTTGGCAGATGCCTTTGATCTACTCCTTGATCCAGGGGACCCCATTTGGAACCCGGGCAACAGCTGCACAACCACAAATACGAATGATGAGAAGGGAAATGAAGAAAAATTGACACTTAAGAAAAGGCTGCACTTACGAGATGCATTCAACTTCTCAGGGAATGGCATGAACTCGGGAGGAATCAAGTCTTCATTCTTCACCCGAACAAAGCGCCCCTGCCAGCCTCGATCTCGGTCTTTGTCAATACTCGAAAAGGGGGCCTTGCTAGCCCGGCGAGTGAGCTTTATTAATTCCCATCGAAAAATTCAGGGACTGTGTAGACAGAGCAGGTGGTCGATGATGAACCGACGAGACTCGGTGTTATCCTTAAAATAACGGAGGAGAATCACGATCCTCCAAAGAGACGGGTGGATTTGCCCAAGGCACATTTCGTACCTCTTACAAAAATCCAAAATAATTGGGTCTATTGAGCCTAGTATGAAGGGGTAAGTGTAAACACTTAAATACCCCTCCACGTAGGAAGTAATATCATCCTCGGGCCTGAGGACTACTACATCCTTGCCTTCCTATTTACAGTCCTCTCGGACCACGGGAAGGATATCTTCGGTAACGGAGCATATATACCTCGATGCCCTTTTACCCCGGTCCTGCTTGGATGGGGGTTTCTCGACTTTGAAGTCGTCCGCAATTGAGCAACCCCCGGGTATAAAGATTTCCATAGGAGGCTCGAGGGGAGGATCGGGGGCAGATGCCCCGGAGGCAGCCACCTCGGGAGCGGCCACCTCGGGAATAGACGCCGCAAAAGTTGCTACCTCGGTATTCGTGGCCGGGTGGGAAGATGTAGAGGCAGCATGTTGGGGAACTGATTTGGAAGTTTTAGCCATTGCTATCTGGTTAAATTTGAAAATTTGAAGAAAAAGTATGAAGGTCTGAAAGAACCAGTTTGAAGATTGAAACAGCAGTGTATGAAGATTTGAAGAAAATATGGGTAAAAACCTAAGAACAATTATGAAGATTTGAAGATCAAAGATGAAGATATGAAGGTTTGAAAGCAGTTGATGATAGCTAGAAAATTCGAAGGTGGAAGCTTGATCGGAAAATAGAAAAAGAACAAAGGATGGAAGCTTTTAAAGGGGAGGTACGTGACACTTCGCATTCGGAGGCAACCAGCCGATGGTTGACACATGTCCGAAGTCAGAACGATACAACTGATGGGACGTTTTAACTTCTTCATCGTTTTGGTTGTAACGTACGAAGGAAGGAACCAGAGAACATTTGTCGTTTCTCATCGTTTCAGCAAACCTACTCTCTAAGAAACGAGACTATCTGTATACGGGTAAAATCGAGGCTAGTGAGCACCCCGATTTCCCGGTAGGGGCAAACAAATCAAGGACATAGCTACATGAAAACGAGATCGAGGCTAAGAACCTCTCATACTAAGGCCCGAACGAAGCGGGGCCATCGAGACAACGCCCCCCGAATCCGGTTCAGGCTCCAAGACCTCAGAAGGCATAACCAAACGGTTGTACACGACTAACAAAGGGCCATGATATCCGCGCCCAATCGGATATCACGACATGAATCTCGACCCGTATCGACCGCGGATCAGTGATTAACGAAAAAAAAGATCTTTACCTTTCTTAGAATTGTACTTAGGGTAAAACTCCCCTACTATATAAAGGGGAAGTTTATTGTTCAATGGACACACTGTAACACGCATATTAAGGCAATATACATTTATTTTCTCTACTTCTAAAGTTATTCAAAGTTCTTATTTTGGTTCATAGTTCTTCATAAGTAATTGGCTTCGAATCGAGGGCAGAACAATACCTAAGCTCAGATCCGAGCTCGGACCTAACATCACAACTGGTTTGGTTATTTATTCTATCTTTAATTCACTTATTTAACGTTATTGATCACTTGTATTGAATTAGTCCACATATCCTTAAAACCGCGTATAAATTCAATTATTATCCATTTTTTAGGATAAACAATTTTATGGATATCCCCTTTTTGATTAAATAAAATAATATACACAAGAATTTATACATCGATAGTATAGCTTGGGACGTTTGAGGAGTTGTATACATTTTTAGCATAATTTTACTAATGGTGCTGGATTATTATCCTCCCTTCCCATTCAGCATTTTATATCCTTGGAAGAGAATTACTCCCCCGTCTATAAATGTTTGCTAAAACAAAACTTGGGAGGGTATTTTAGGGCCTCAAAGTAGTAAATCTTACGGATAAATTAACCTATCAACTTTTGCAAGTGCTAGTTTCATTAATTAGTGCTGAGGGAGGTCAATTATTCCTCGAAGCTTTGTGATGCTAGGGAAAAAGAAATCAATAACATGTCTCTGAAGGAAAATTGACATCTTAATCTAATACACCAGTAACATCGATCATTCTACAGCCACCTAGAGTTCTCTGTCCTCTTGATTTTTACTTTTTTCTGTTGAAGGAAAACAATGTGATCAGACCCCAACATTAAGTTTACCTCAATGTTTAAAGCCCTGGTCGCTGTGGGCCACAATTTATGAAAATGCAACCTAATGCAGCAGCAGTAAGCACTACCCAGTTTAATGAAGAATAGGCGGCATAGTCAATAACGAAAAGGTTCAGCTACCACATATTAGCTAGCACGCAAATTTCATTTAAAACATTGCAGAAGAGAGTGTAAAACATCCTTAATTAGCTGAATCTCAAAAACCTTAGCTCCTCTCCACAGGTTCAGATTCTTGAACCTGTATCAAATATTTTCCATCTTTCATGTTGCTTGTAAAGATTTCTGGCCTAGTATTCAGCAGCATTCAGAGAGATCAACCCCATACATAACCTACGCGAAGGTCCAGATAATACTCTCTTGAGTGGTGATGCCACCTTATAAAAGTTACAAGACATAAGCATACAAATAGCATATCAATGCTTTACAATGAAGCCAGATTGAAGAGTTCCAAAATGTTTATTTACTGCAGCAGCAACTCATGGTGATATAGGAATTAGAGAGGTTCAACATGAGGGTACATAATACACACATAGCATGGACATGTTCAAAGTACACATTAATATAGAAGCTTGATCCAACATCAAGCTTAGAAAACAAACAAGATTATTTTAACATAAGCTTAGATTTCAATGACAAAATAAACCCGCATTGCATATTGCAAAACTATTCATCTGCATGCTTCACAACAGTAACAGGACATGTAGCATTATTCACAACATAGTTGCTAACGCTGCCCATGATGGCCCTGTAATAAAAAGGAGGAAAAACTAAACGTTAGAATATTCCCATTATTTCAAACAGTGTGTAGTAATGCCAATTGCTAAATGATCATGAGATTTTTGCTGAAATCCCAATGGATAGACAGTTTCCAAGTTTACTCAATCTATGCAAATACATTTGGAAGTTGGTAGCATGAGAAAAGTGGTATCTTTCTCAACCAAAGCTACATGGTTGTGGCAAAAGAAAAGGCAACGAAGTGACTAATTTCCATTTTGACATAATACACAACATGTCATTCAGTCACAAAAGGAATTATAGAAAGGATTAGACCTCTTGAGCTTTCCAAGCCCTCTGTTTCCAATGACCAGACAGCTCAAGGGAGTTTTGTCAATTGCTTCACATAACTTCTCTCGAGCATCTCCCCAGTAAATTTTCAGGACTACCATTATCTGCTAACAAAAGAAAAAATTGTAAGAATACTTAATCTATGTATGTTTACTGAGAAACACTGGATCTCGTAAAAGAAGAGAAAATATCACCTCCTTCTGTCTAGCAGCAAGGGTTACCATATCCAATGTTTCTGGGTCAGGGTTAACCCCATACTTCTTCATTGTGTGGGCATCGCATAACTCGGATAAAGGAATTAAAGCTGCAAAAAGATCCCAAAAAATGTATCAGATGATATAATCTAACTAAACAAATATCACATATTCAACCAATAACAAGCCCAAGGTGGCAATCTTTCACCGCTAGGGTTCTCAGGAAGTCGTTATCCTATTTGATGTGATTATGCATTTCTTGAGCCAAGGGTCTATTGGAAGCAGACTTTTTACCTTCTCAAGTAAGGGTGGCATGTGGGCCGGGCCCGGTCCTAAGTGGGCTTTGCGGGCCCGGTCCTAAGTGGGCCGGTCCTAGGCAGGCCGGTCCTAAGCGGTCTCGAGCTTCGCGGGCTTCTTGTTAGAAGCGGACCGGGACCACGAACTAACGGTCCCGGGTTAAGTGGGTCGGTCCCGGGCCTAAGTGGGCTCAACGGATACTTTCTATTTTTTAAATTTTTTTTTATAGACGTTAGAGAAAAAAAATGGTAATAAAAATATCTAAGGCAATTCCTTGTAAATTATATTATAGAATTGTCACCTAAATTTTTTAATTCAAATTTAAAGACAAAAATATTGTAAAAAGATATTCAAAGCAATGCGTTATAATATTATAATATCTTAACAGGATCGAGTGTAGGCGGGCGGTAATCCGCACGGCCTACCCAATCTGGTTAAAACAGAGATCACCGATTTATCGGGAACTAGAATTGTTTCACACCTCTGCTGACTATTATGTGTTCACCGAGGTTTCCACCAGTTAAAGATCTCTAATTTTAACATGATCGAGTGTACTCAATCTAGCTAATTCAGTATCCTTAAGTTTAAAGACTGGAGGTAATCCGCACGGTCAGTAAGGATATAAGAATCGAAATATACAAGAATTTTTTATATAGTTTGATGACTGTATGGAAGGTCTAACCTTTTACGCAAGCAAGGGGTCTGTCATAATATAATACATACTCTCATTGAGCCCATGAATCTAGCAGTTCTAACCGTGAAAGAAGATGCCCTTTTTAACTCATTTAACGGGCTAAGAAGGTTCACGGCTGGCTAGACGGAGCCACTAAGGCAAAGCCAATAAGAGTAGTGTTATATTAGACTGTACCACCATCTCGAAACCAAGTCAAAATACTATATATAAAATTCCTTTATATTTTGATAGAGGCCAGATCTTTTATGGTTTATATAGGAGAGAAGTTAGATATTCAACATAGATATGAAGTCTCTTAGCCGGACATAGTCACGGCCAGAGAGGAGAGACTAGAAGAAATACTATAAGTAAAAATAAATACCTTATGAGCCGGGATGCAAGGCCTGTATACGAAGAACTTGAGATTTTATTTACTTGATTTTCGATTACAAAGTAGTACTTACAATAGAGAGAGAGAGATTTAAGAGAGAGAGCGAGTTTTGGCTTCTGCCTTCCTCTCTGAAAGAATGCATCTATATAATAAAAAACGAATCTTAAACAGTAAAATAGGGTCCCATATTGTGGGTCCCTGTACAGTGTTTCTACTGTACCAAACAGTATTTCTACTGTTGAAGAACAGTGTTTCTACTGTTGAAATAGTCTATCTACTGTTTGAGTGGGGGTCCGGCGGCTTCACTGTGCTGTGGGGTCTGGCGGCTTCACTGTGCTGTGGGGTCCGGCGGCTTCACTGTGCTGGTCGTTTTTCTAACTCCTTCATTTTGCGGAGGAAATCTTCGTCTTGTAAGCCTTCATCAGATAATATCTTTTCTGTTTCAATAGGTTGAGAGTCATCTGCGATATCATCGTTGCTAGTTTCACTTTGCATTGAAGTGTCTGATTTCTCATATTGGTTTATGGAACGAAGCAAATTTCTTTTTACTTCTTCCAAATAGTCATTAATCATTTCTTCCTTATCCCCTTCTTGAAAGGAGATTTTTCTGGCAATGTGCCGAACTGAGCTATCATCAATTCTTTCTTTCTGAGGGTTGCTGGAATATTCTTGAATTTTTGTTTTAACAGAATCTAAGAGTTCTTGACCGTATAACGTCTTCGTTTTGAGATCCTTTTTCATCAGTTTATCCCAGAAGTTATTATAAAAAGTTCTGTATAAACAAGGGATCTGTTCCTCGGTGAATCCTACCTCTGGAGTCCATTTATGAATCCAGGGAATAGAGAATTCTAGAAAGAAATATATCTGGTCAATCTTTTCTAAGTAACAGATATGATCTGTGTGGTATAACTCGTTTATAACTGGTGAAACTTTTGTCCATTCTTTGTATAACATAAGAAATGGATCCGGTAATATCTTGACTGTCGGACCGTGGTATGACCACCAGTTTAAAAACCAGTTAGGAATAGGTTCTGCAAATATCTTTGCACACACCTTTATGAACCAAGTGTGTTTATGTCTATCATTATTGTAATAGAGCACTTTATCAAAGGCCTGGATATAATCCCAATAGGTAAAATTCATACGGGACTTGTTAAGGCTTATCTGCCTTTCTTTCATTGTAGATATACCCCAATCTTCAACAGATATAATCTGTTTGATAATGATTTTCGAGAAGTTATAAACATTCTCGTCTGTGCTATAACAAGAAAAGTGCTAAAATTCTGCATTGCCTGTACTGGTGAGAATAGTCTCATAATAAGAACGGGTTTTGTAGACTCACCCGGATAATATAATCCATTTATCAAGTACCTTTGGAATATCTTTCATGGTTCTTCTTTCCTCTGAATATCTGTATTTTCTAAAAGAAATATCATTTCTTTTTTAATCAATTTCTCATAGGACTTGATATCATCATTGTCCTCTTTTGTAATTGAAGCAAAAGTATCACTTTGCTTTTGAGCAGTCAAGTATGCCTGCAAGTGTGCGTATAACGGACTATCTTCTGGAATATCTTCCAGGTGAACGGATGGTCCTATTGAGGATTCTCCTCTGAGAGATATCTTCTCATTGGTCAAGCTCCTTCTTCCCATTTGTATAACTGGGGAGTTTGATGTGGATCCGTATGACGATCCTGAAGGGGATGTTCTTCCTTGGGAATGTGGGGATGATCTTCCCCTTCCTCTACCTCTATCTCTGCCCCATGGGGGTCCATCCTGCAGATATTCACGAGATAAGAAATCTGGCAGAGAGTTATCAATTCCCTTTTTGTATTGAATTTCGAAATCAAAAGGGGGCTAATTGAGCCTGCCATCTTGCAAATATCAATTTTGAGGCATCATGTTTAAAATCTTTGTTAAACATATATTTAACAGATTGAGCGTCAATTTTTATCAAAAACTTTTGATTGTATAAATCATCTTGGAATTTTAAAACACATTTAACTATAGTTAACATTTCATGAGCCACAGTAGCGTACTTTCTCTGGGCTTCAGACCATTTTCCAGAGTGAAATCTAATCAGGTATTCACAATTATTGTTTGGATTTATTTGTTTCAAAATCCCTCCGTAACCAATATTAGACGCATCTGTCTCGACAATCTTTTGCCATGCAGGATTAGCAAGGGTTAAACAAGGTAAAGATTTAACACGTTGCTTAATATTTTTAACTAAAATAGTATCACTATCACTCCAAGGGTTTTTATGATCCTTTTTTAGCCTATCATATAAGGGAGCTAAATCACGAAATAAATTTTTATAAAAAGGTGATATATAATTTAAACTTCCCAAAAACCTTTGCAATTGAGTTCTATCAGTAATACTATCGGAAAATTTTGAAGCAAAATCAATAGATCTTTGAATCGGAGTTATTTTTCCTTGACAGATATAATGTCCTAAAAATCGAATATTCGTTTGGAATAAACTCATTTTTTGTTTCGAAATAACCAAATCATTTTGTATAACAATTCTTTTAAAAATATCTAGATGCTTAATATGCATTTCAAATGTTTTCGAGAATATCAAAATGTCATCAATATAAATAATGATAAAATCCAGATATGGATTAAATATATCATTCATGATTTTTTGAAATTCAGAAGGGGCATTCTTTAAACCAAAAGGCATAACATTCCATTCATATTGCCCGAATGGGACATTAAAAGCAATTCTATAAGTATGCTCCTTAAATATTTGAATTTGTCAATATCCAGATTTTAAATCAAACTTTGAAAATATATTGGCATCATATAATCTTGATAATAAATCCTTTTTATTGGGAATTGGATATCTAATCCACTTTAAATATTTATTCAAAGGTTTATAATTAATAATCAATCTAGGAATACCTCGTTCCTTTTCAGCAGCATTATTAACATAAAAAGCTGTGCAAGACCAAGGAGATTTTGAGGGTTTTATCAAACCCTTTTGTAACAAATTATCAATCTCTTTTTGAAAGAATTTTACCAATTCAGCGTTCATCGGACAAGGTCGAGATTTAGTAGGAATATCATCCTCAAAGAAATTATCTTCATAAGGAAGGGTGACAATATGCTTTTTTCTATTCCAAAAAGCACTAGGATGCTCAGCACAAATATCAATAGCAATATTTTCGGAAATTAAATTAATCTTTTCCTGCACTTTAGTAGAATTTAAAGTATCAAATATATTCATACTAAATAATTCTAATTGTAACGAATCAATATGTCTTTGCTTCATATCAATTAAAGAATTTATATCTCTAGTTACGGGATCTGTAACAAAAGTGTAACTTATCTTTCTATCCTTATAAGTAGCTGTAAAACCTTTTGAGTCTATGCTAGTAAAAGGATAAATGGCGTTAATAAAAGGTATTCCAAGTATAATTGGAGGATATAACTGGTTTTTAACCAAGAAAAAGAAATGAGGAATGCAGACCTTATTCTGACAAATACCCGTTTTAGGCAATTTATACTTTATATCTAAAGCATGCCCTAATGCAGATTTTACCATATGAGTAGTTTTTTGAAAATATTTAGTAGGTACTAAACCAGTGTTATAAATAGCGCTCGCTACAGCGCTAAAAGCGTGTAGTGACGCGAGGCGAGCGTGTGACGCTACAGAGGGCCTGTTGCGTTGCGATTCAAAATAGCGGTCGCCTCTGCTTGTGTAGCGAGAGGCGACAGTGTGGCGAGAAGCGAGCGTAGCGTCGCTATTTTAAAAAAAAGAAAAAGAAAAAGGCACTTAAGTCGCGATTAGGGCTTGGGTGAAATCACTTCTTACTAGCAGCGACCCTTCATCTCCAGTTCTCCTTCAGCGACAAAATTAGGGCTTGGGTTCACATCTTCTTCTTCTTCCATCGTAAGCCATCAGCGACCCCTTCTTCACCAGGTATGTTTCTTTCTTTTCTTTTCTTCTTCTTCTCCTTTCTTCTTCTTCTGGTCGACCACCATTGCTGGTCTTCTTCTTTCTTTTTCTTCTTCTTTCTTCTTTCTTCTTTCTTCTTTCTTCTTTCTTCTTTCTTCTTTCTTCAGTGATCGCTGTCTTTCTTCTTCTTTCAGCTTTGTTTTTCTTCTCTTTCAGCCCAGCTCTGTTTTTCTTTCTTCCATCATCTCTTTCAGCTTTGTTTTTCTTCTTCTTTCTTTGCTCTGTTTTTCTTCTCCTTTCTTTCTTTCTTTGCTCTGTTTTTGGGTTCTTTGCTCTGTTTCTTCCATCATCTCTTTCAGCTCTTATTTTTCAATTTGTTGCTCTGTTTTTCAAAATCGAGCAGAGGCAGTTGCTGTATTTTTTTTTGTTGCTCTGTTTTTCAAAATCGAGCAGAGGCAGTCAGGCAGTAGCTTCATTTTTTTTGTTGCTCTGTTTTGTTGCTCTGTTTTTCAAAATTGAGCAGAGGCAGTAGCTTTATTTATTTGTTGCTCTATTTTTTCAATTATAGGTTTATAGTCTTATATAGTAGAATTAATTGCATATTGACTTGATAATTTTTTTTCCATAAAACAGCGTTGAAATGGCGTCATCCGATAGAAATAAACGAAATGATATAGCTTGGAATTATGCTATACAAGACTCATCAAGATTCGCAATTAATTTTTGAATGATATTTATTAATATATTTTGAGTTTTTAGTTATATGTATATAATATTTTATGTTTTTGTATAAATTGTCGCTTCACATAAAAAAGGCGAGCGCTTTGCTGCGCGCCTCTTGCCTCAGTGAAGCGGGCCCTCGTCGCTATTTGTCGCCGCACGCTACCCAAAACACTGTACTAAACCTTCTTGAATGCAGCTACCATCAGCTCCACTATCAATCATAGCAATATTTGTAATAGAAAAACTATTATCTATTAGAATAGTGCATTTAATATACCATCTATGAGCAGTAACAATTTGCATCATTCCCAAAAACATATCATGTTGAGAATTAATTTTAATAGGTTTTTCTTCAATATCATTTTCAGAAATACCTTTGTTTTTATCATCAGATTTCTCAGCTGGAGAATTGATTTTCTCAATCTAAGTAATCCTATGATCACAAATCATTTGATTTTGTTTAAGAGATTTGATCTCTCTTTTCAAGTTTTCAACTTCAACTTTTAAATCATCGAAAGAAGAATTTCTTGCTGGAGTTGTATTCTTATTTAAAAGACGGTTATTAACCTCTAATAAAGAATAAGGCACAGAATATTCAAATTCCTTTTTTGAGTTTTCAAAAGGTTTTGAAGAACTTGAACTTGAACTTGCATCCAAATTTATAATTTTTTCACGAAGTTTATCATCATTAACTTCCTTTAAAAGTTCTATTACATTATCAGATGTAATAGTTTTCATGTTCAAATCTTGGAATTGAGATTGTAGTTTATAAAATTCATCATCATCACAGGTACATGTACTACATTTGCAAGTTGTACAAGTATTATCAATATTTTTATCACTATCAGATAAATCAAGTAAATCTATTTCAGCTTCAGTTTCTGACTCAGAATAATAATCAGATTCTGATCCAGAAGTGTATAACAAACCATAAACCTTATCACGTAACTCATCGTCTAGTTCTAAGGTTTTTAGCTTTTGAAGCTTACAATTTGGAGCTATATGGCCAAATTTATCATATTTATAACATCTAATATCAGCAAGATCTCGCTTAGACCTATTTTTCGTAAATCTAGTAGACTTGCGATGGGCTTTCTTAGCATCACGCTCTTCTTTGGATCTATATCTCGATCTCTTTTTCTTATAAGGACTGTCTGAATTAGGGTATCTATGATACTTGTGTTTCTTCTTCTTGTTATGAGTAGAAGTCTCGGATAAATCGAACTGTGTGCAAAAGTCTCCTAATTGAGATTTCTCCTTAAGCTTATCCATCTTAAGTTGTCTGGACAATTTTAACCCATTGCACAAGTTTAATCCTTCTTGTGTACATATTCCTATCAATTTTTCATAGGTATAATCCTTGTACGGAATTTCACCATAGCTACCTCTTAGAGTTTTTCTTACTCTTTCAACAAATAAGGAGGGAAGGCCATCTATAAACTTAGCTTTCCAATGGTCATACTTATTTTCGGATAATTCCATAACTCTACTCATAAAGGTATCTTTATACCATCTGAATTCACCTAAGGTCCTACATCTAAAACCATTAAGTAGAGTACGAACTGTCTCATGCTGATTGGTAAATCTACCATTGAAATGTTCTAATATGGTAAGAACAAGGGTATAAACAGCATCTTCTCTATTTTTTACAAGAGTCATGCCTAAGTTATCAACTCTTTCGTCAGTGGCTATTGCATTAATAACCATTGCCTTTTCTTCAACAGTCAAATAATTATCCCACCAGCCACGGAGTTGGCCAGTAAAACCTGCAATAATCATTTTGCAAATAGTTCTATCTGTATTTTTCACACTTTTACAGATAGTTGCATACATAAGCATTCTATGTACAAGAATAGTCAATTGTCTATCAGTCAAACCATCAAGATTCCATTCATAAATTTCGGAACCACTGTAAGACGTATTAGTCTGATTCCAATCACGTTCCTCTATTAAGACATCTTGAGGAGTAGGACGATTGTAATAATAAGTTTGCATTCTGGGTTTATCAGCATACTTACTATCAGCATTCTTACTATTCTTTTTGGGATAACCTCTGAGTTTATTAAACTCTGACCAAACTTCATTTTTATAATCAAAAGTGGTGTCTAATTTATCAGCAAAATCCTTTGACAAATCAATAGGTTTGATATTTAAACCAGATAACTTTTTATCAAAAAGTTCTTCTAAATCATTTAAAGATTTGAATTTAAAATCCTGAATCTCAGGGGGTCTTTGAACATGAGTAAGAACAATTTGAGCTTATGATTTGCTTCCTGACGTAGAGGCAATATCAGTTGTCTTCTTGCTAGTACTCATTTCTTTTTTCAAAATAGTTAATTCATCAAGTTTTTTATCAAGAAAACTGATGTGTTCACCCAAAACTTTAACATATAAACTCAAATAATTATTTTGAGAAATCAAATTATTAATTTCTGCGATGCTGACTGCAGCAACATCTTCATCAATAAATTTTTGAAATGCAGTAAACGTAATACCTGTATTATTAGGTAAAACAAAAGGTGCTTGAGGAGGGTATATGGCTTTAGTAATATTGCCAATCCCATCTTTATAAGATCTTTCTAAAACCTTTATATAAAGTGGTAAATAGGTGGTTATAAACCAAGGGACAAAATACATAATTTGATTATGCAAAGCACAAGTTTCATAAAACTCTTGAGAAATATTATTTAAATCATCTTTACTATAAGTATCAAAAAACCAAGTTTTAAACCGGTTTCATTTATTATTAAAAAATTCTTTTTGAATATAACTTCTTGCTTGTGACCCTGGACTAAAATCTATTTGGTGTGGGATCATTAAACATCATTGGGGTTGAAATCCATTTCGGATACAGAAGAAATATCCTTATCAGAAATATTATCACTATCCTGAACAATATTTGCTTGGGGGTTAATCTTAACCCTTTCAACAGGCTTATCACTAACTCTAGTAGAAATTGTATGCAAAAATGCATCATGATTTCTAGCTGGTCCATAGACTGGTTCAACGGGAGAAATATGTTGAATATCAGACAACAGTTTACGATTAGTAAATGAATGCCTATTATAATTTGAACTAATAGCAGGCAAAAGTCTATTATTAGAAAATGACTGTCTATTATAAGTGGAACTATTATCTACGTTAAACCCTAGATGTAAACTGTATGATACATCCGATCAGACTATATTGGTGGAAACCAATTTTGCAAAGTCTAAGGTCACCACGAGGAGGCCTATTAAGTGGGAAGAAATTAATTTCCCAACTACATGGACTTTGGATTAGGTTATATCCCCAAGTCAGATTACTAATGCTGTCAGTAATACTGAATATTCTCATATAACTCAAAATAATATATATACTATATATATATACTATACTATATTATATATACACAGTATATAAACCATATTCGATAGTATACATCTTAAGATATACTATATATACATCTTAAGATATATATAGTATATATAGTATATAAAGATGTATATATAGTATAGTATATAGTATATAGTATAGTATATACTATACTATACTATATATACATCTTAAGATATATAAGCTATATTCGATTTATATAC